GGACGTTGGAGTCGGGTGAGCTAGTGTCTTCAATGAGAGAGGGCATGATAAAGGCCATGAACTGAAAAGAACCATGAATAAACAAAGTCAAAAACAGAATTAAAGCTTAAGTAGATACAATCGACTGAAAAGCAAAGATAAAAATAGTTACCCGAGAAAAGCATAGAAGAGCGCGGCTAGCGCGATCATAAGGATCACGATCTGCGTGAGCCTTGTCAGCAGCAGGGATGATGGAGTCAAAGTATTTGGCGATCTCATGAGGGTGAGGATGATCCCAAAGTCAGGAGGGCCTCTCGAGGGTGACTGTCTCGAGCTGGCCTGGAGGAGAAGCTTGTTCGACGGCCTTACCCTTGTCTTTTGTCTTCTGACGCTTGAGAGCGCCAGGGACAAGAGTGACGTCGACCGCGTCTTGAGCTCGCTTCCGAGGAAACGAGCCCGAGGCCTTTTTCTGACTCTCCCCGAGGGCGGGAGTAATACCTTCGACTTCTTGACGGCAGTCGTCTCAACTGTCGCCTCTTTCACACCCGACCCCGAGCCGCCGTCGGGTTTCTTGACAGTAGTCGTCTCGACTGCTGCCTTTTTCTGACTCTCCCCGTGGCCGTTTATTTTGTTTAACCTTGGAGGTAATCCAAGTGTTTGGGTATGGATATGTACCGGAAGCAGGTCGAATAAAACAAACTTTGATTTCCACTTAGTTACATTCGAGGAGAGGTCATCGAGAAAGGTGACACCGGCAAGACGACCCAAGCAGTGGGCGTCTTTTATGAATCGATAGCTATAACAGTAAAAAAGGAACTCTGGAGAGAAATATCTAAGTTTTATTCGGAATACAACAATGAAAGCGATCATGATGCGAATCGCATTGGGAGAAAACTGATTTATGGGTACATCGTATAAATCGCTAATAGCGCGAAGTTCGAGTTGAATCGGAAAACGAAGACCGAACAGCACCTGGTCGATAAAAAAAGTGTAAAAGCCAGGTGGAGGATTAGCAAAGTCGTCATTGGGTTTGGGAACGACCAGTTCCCAGTCGGCGGGAAGACCGCTGTACACCCTAAAGCCCTCGACCTCGGCTGCAGAGGCATAACAAAAAGGATTTAAAACAACTAACTTAGCTAAAGGACATGCTACAGAAACAACATCTCGAACCTCGAGAAGAGGCGCAATTATGGGTAAAGAAGAAGGACTTGTTCTATATACAGGAAAATCTAAGATCCTATGGGGAATACCTCGGGGAATGAGGTCGAGACGGGGAGACTCTCTAGCTCGGGAAGACTCGAAATCCTCCGCCAAGACACCCGACATCCATGCTTATCTGTAAGCGTCTTGATCGATACCAAAGGAAGATACATCTGAATGAGGAGAATCTTGTGATTGATCAGCCGGTTTGAAACCGACTACTTGCACAGAATCGGACGATTGAGGACCTTCGTCGATCAAGCGGTCGGGGGTGTCGGGCGAGGAATCGGAATCAGAATCTAGAACGAAAAAGAAAAGAAAGTCGAGATCAGTAAAGGAGAATTTAGTACGAGGCAAGAACCAGCGTAATCTGCAACAGACAAGTCGACTTAAGAAAGTCACTGCGAGTCGAGCCGAGGAAATAAGGAAGGGTAAATACCCGACTCGACATAATCGTGAGCGAGAAGATACAGTATGTCGGAAAGAGCCAAACCTAGATCGACCTAGAGGAATGCAGATCGATTTTGTTCCAAAAATCGCTACGTAGCAAAGTAGGCCAAACAGAAATCTAAAAGAAAATTGAAGCAAAAAGGATCTAGTACAAAGCCCATACAAAAAGTCTGAAGAACGCGAAGAACGTCTACAAACTTGAAAATCGAAAAACCCAGAAAATCAAAATAAAAATCATGCAATTTGCAGGAATTGAGATAGAACTTACACATGATTGCGATGAGAGGAAGCCTTGAAGAAAGTTGATAGCCGCCGGAAAATCGAACTCCGAGAGAGCAGAAATCCTTCGTCGATTCCCTGATACCCGACTTCTACTTGAAGAGTCAACAAGAGCGTAGCCTCCGAGTAACCAGAGGACCCCGAGTCGACTCGTCCGTACTCGGTGTCGACTCCTCATACCTCGAGACGTGAGGTACACTAACGACTCAATACACTTGTAACATACTCAAGGCTCTACATACTCCAAAGGATAAGAAGGAATCTTGAGATGACTCAGCAGCAAGGGAAGACGAATCGACCAGGGCAATTTAGACCTTACAGGTCAACCGACCGAGGCATTTCAGGTACTTCAAGTAAGTGTTCACTCATATATAAAGGAGGTGAGGTAACCCCAAACCCTAACTCTCCATTCCACACTCCCCTCATAGCTGCTGCGCAACATCCCTTCATCACTCTCATACTGACTTGAGCGTCGGAGGCTCTACGCCGGAAACACCTCCGGCGTTGAGTTTTTGCAGGTACTCTCGCGGTCTAGCAACGATTCAGAGGCGGTTCAAGCATATCTGAGCTCAAATCCACTGGTTCTCTTCAGATCTAGAAGTAGACCCATCACAAGGTTAGTTGTCTGTAGTTGCAAAGTTAATTCTATCTTGTTACAGGGTTAGTTGTTTTTATTTGCAATGTTTAGTTGTACTCAGTTTGCAAGGTTAGTTGTCCGTAGTTGCAAGGTTAGTTGTCTTTAGTTGCAAGGTTATTTGTCTTTAGTTGCAAGGTTAGTTGTCTGTGGTTGCAAGGTTAGTTCTATCTAGTTGCAATGTTAGTTGTCTGTAGTTGCAAGGTTAGTTGTTTGTAGTTGCAAGGAGTTGTCCTCATTTTAAGAGTTGTCCTCATTTGATCCGCCCCATATATATATATATATAGGAAAGAGTTCAAATGAGAACTCCATGTGAGTATAAGAACTAGGAAATAATCATAGCCATTAATTATATTATATTATTATCGATGGTCCTGATTGTTTCAAATATTTTTGGTATTACTTATTCACAACACTAGACTTAATTAGGAGTGTCTATTTTAGTCAACATTATTATTTAGTAATTACATTAGTGCATATTTTTAGGGAGAGATTGTTCGTACTTAATTTGAAATGGTAAGAATTAGTTAATTTTCTTTCCACGCAAATGTTTTAACTCAACTAGGAAAAAAAATTTGAAGTCAATCACATAACACATATTACTTGCCAAAAATAATAGCACTACATCCTGATTAAAAATAGCACTAAAATACAATAAATCATAGCACTACGTACAATTAAAAATAGCGGTTCTCACGGTTCTCATACTAGGACTTGGTTCTCATTTGAACCACATCCTATATATATATGTTTTCACTTGTGTCTATTTGGAAACACATAGTTTAGACTCGATAATATAACCTGGCATATATTTCATTGCTCATTATTTTATACATCATTTTAAAATGTTGTATTAAAGTGAGTGATTTATTTTTATTTCTCAACATCATTTGATATCAATTTGGTATTGTAAAGATCTCTGACCGGCTGAAAATAGTTAGATCCTGATCTTGATTGCCGGTTGAATGCCTCCGAAGCTGCAAAACTCTCACAACGGAGGAGTTTTTTAGTGAAGAGTCTCCGATGCTTAAGTTAGCACTTGTAAAAGATGAAGTGCATAAAATAGTGTATGGAATAATCAAGAATGTAACTCTAAAATTACAGATCCTACTCCTATTTCTAGGAGTGGGTTACCTGCTTTTAGAAGCCTTCTCGGATACGGTGATGACTGCCAAAGCTGTCCGAGCTACCCGTACTGCCCTTAACGGTTATAGAGCGTGGACCAATCAACTAGTGCCACATGTTTTGACTTATGTGCAATATTAATTACAGTGGGATTTCTTCATATCTCGTAGTCATCTTTCTTAGACGGTCTAACCATGCGCATAACCCCGATTACCTCGAGGGGAGGTACCTTCGTCGTTGAGCCTTGCTATCCTGCTAGTCTGGTCGATCCTTCGACCAGGTACTCCTTCAGGTTGAAATCTCACCAGGCCCTCCGAAGGCTTTCATTCGACCTGCTGGTACCTCTCGCGTCATCCATGTCTTTCTCGACCTGTGGAGTCTTCGTTCCCCGTTCGACCTGATGACTGACCCAGTTCGGTCTAGCTGTCATTCCAGTTTAGTCGACCCGGTATGGTTATCCCATATCACAATTCTATTACTATTACAAGCAAACAAAATTAGAACAAAAATGTTTCTAGAGTGTGTTTTATAATCACCATTTGTTAGGTTATGGTTTATTTCATGAGTTTATAAGTTTCTTGTACTCAAAATTAGAATGATTTTAAAAAAAATATTCGAGCTTATTTTATAAGTTTTATTACATACCTTTAAAAAGAAATCATTGAAGTTTTATTGTAGTAAACTTGTCAACTAGTTTTATCAAACAATTTAATCAAATCAGCAAACTTTTCAGTCATCAATTTTAAGCTCCAAACTAACTCATGAGTTATATTTATAAGCTAATAATTTTACCTTAACATAGTGCTAGTCTCAACACAGATATGGTGATTTTCATGAGAAAAAAAAGGCTTTCTTTAATATGTCTTCACAATAAATATTTCCATAACCATTCTTATCTAACTTATTTACAACTTTTTAATAGGGAGTCCAATTTGATTGAAAAAAGGAGAAAGGGAGAGAGATAGATTAATTTGGATTTAATTGTATAAGAGCATCTTCAATGGTCATTAGATTGCTCTTTTTTATTGCCACGTGACATAATAAATCTCATGTAGCATTCAAAATGTCTAGAAGTCTTTCTAGACATAGAATTACTTCTAGACATCCTATAATATATTTTATATTATTTATTAAATATATATTTTATTCCCAACCAATTCTAATATTATACATGTTAAATTATACTAAAATTGACATTAATTATTGAAAACAAAATTTTACAATTTTCTTTCTCTATAGTATACATCTCCAAATGGACAATATATCATTGGAGATGCTCTAATCTTTTTCCTTATCATGTTGTATTTTCTTTTGCTTTGATAGGTGGTTGGCCAAATTAAAGAGGAAACTTTTGATTAAAAAATAAAGAAAACCAATAAAGCCAATATTCGTGCCATTCCACTCGTCCCTGTCCCACTTTCTCTCAACCTTTGCTTTCCCCTTTGATCTCTCTAGTTGCTTACCCCTTAATCACCATCGTTACATTTCTCAGATTCATACAAACATATATACATATTTTTACCTCTCCTTTCTATTTCGATTTGATGATAAATTAAGCAGAGCAGATCGAATAATTTTTTTTTTTTAATTGAGAAAAGCTGACCACGATTCAGAAAAACTGAGCAAGAAGAAGCCGAAACGCAAAGAAAGGGATCGCAGATCTAAAAATCTGACAAATTTTCAGGCCGCCATCATTTCGTTTTCAGTGCCCCACATTCATTCATTTCCACCAATTCACGTTTTCTCACACCTTATTCAGCAGACCATACGTTTTTATCTATCCACAAGTCTGGCCTCGAGCTCTTTTATTGTTGCTGTCATTTTGTATAAGTTTTTTTTGCATTCATTGATTGTGACATTAATCCCCCTGGTTCAAATTTTATTTTTGTTTTTTTCCTTCTCATATATATCATGTGTCATTTTGCAGTTCTAGCATCTACTTGAAGCCTTGGAAGTTTACTCCTTTGTCCTGGAGCTTGGATTATGATGCATCTGTAGGCATCTTGTTTCCATTTTACCTCAGATGATGGTATTTTATGGTTTTTGGATGTGTTATCCCTTCATCTCTATAAAGGCACCATTTTTTTCACCACATTGAATAGCTAGGGTTTCCAGAAGTTATAGGAAGGTTATTTTTAGAAAGGGAGGAACTTTTTGTCTGGGGTGATTTACTGAGCTTGAGGTGGTATTGATTGACGAGTTTTTCACTTGGGTGGATGCGCAGTACAATGCTTCAGAGGTGATGCATTTAATTGGCCTACCCATTGCACATATTGGTTTGGGTAGGGGAATATTCTCTCGCGTTTTGGGGGTTGAATTTTTTCTGGTTTGGTTTAGTGGCATTCCAGCAATTATTATCCGCGGCTGGTTATATTACAGACCAATGTGTTTTCTTCGTTGGTGGACCCTTTATGTCTTCAGACAAGCCATTGTTGTCTCAATCTGAACACTTTTCTGCACCAAATCCTCAGCCCCATTACCATCGGCGCCGTTCATCATTGAGACGCAGCTCACTGAGCTGTCTTTGCACTTCTGCATCTATCTCATCTTCGCCAGCCGATCAGGCGCATGAGTGCAATTTCGACGACCTGAAGGAGTTGGAAGAAAATTTCACTCCAGTGAAAGGTAAAGCAGTTTCAGGGAATTTGGTGGGACATCTCACTTCCAACCTCCCAAGAAAGGAATTTCGTTCGGCTGAACTCCACAAGCAATGCCTCCCACGCGAGCGAAAGCGTCTTGTGTCATGGGGTGGTGTAATGGACCTGCGGCAGCAGAACCTGCAAGCCTTTGAAATTTCTGGGGCTTCATCTTGTGCTGCTTCTAGACTACAGGACTTGAAAAAACATCAGACGTCTCGAAGGTCTGAGAGGTTCCTTCAGATAAGCATGCAGCTGGAAGATAATATAGTACATCATCATAACCCCAGGCGGATCCATATTAATGACCCAAGGAAGACTAACGATAAGTTTGAGTTCTCGGGAAATGAGATACGCACAAGCAAATACACGTTGCTTAATTTTTTGCCGAAAAATCTTTTTATTCAGTTTCACAGGGTTGCTTATTTATATTTCCTAGCCATTGCTGCTCTAAACCAGCTTCCGCCTCTAGCTGTCTTTGGGAGAACAGTTTCTCTTTTCCCTCTTCTTTTTGTGCTTACTGTGACAGCTGTAAAAGATGGTTATGAGGATTGGCGAAGACACAGGTCTGATCGGAATGAGAATAACCGGGAGGCACTAGTGCTACAATCTGATGAGTTCCATCCCAAACGATGGAAGATGATTCAAGCTGGCGAGGTAGTGAAGATCAGGTCGGATGAGACTATTCCATGTGATATGGTATTGTTGGGAACTAATGATCCTAGTGGAATAGCATACATACAAACAATGAATCTGGATGGCGAGTCAAACTTGAAAACAAGGTATGCTCGACAAGAAACTAATAGACTGCTACTTGAAGGGACAACAATATCTGGGCTTATCAAGTGTGAACAGCCAAACAGGAATATATATGAGTTCATGGCCAATATGGAGCTGAAAGGACAGAGATTTCCTCTCAGCCAGTCAAATATCATTTTGCGAGGCTGCCAGCTTAAGAACACGGAATGGGCAATTGGGGTAGTGGTTTATGCTGGACAGGATACAAAAGCTATGTTGAACAGTGCAATGTCCCCTGCCAAAAGAAGCAGACTGGAAACTTACATGAACAGAGAAACTCTGTGGTTGTCAGTTTTCCTTATGATCATGTGCCTTGTTGTAGCAATAGGGATGGGTTTATGGTTAAAGCGCCATGAGAATCAGCTTGATACACTGCCTTACTATCGGAAAATTTACTTCCAGAAGGGGAAAGAGGGGAAGAAGTACAAGTATTATGGGATCCCTATGGAAACTTTTTTCTCATTCTTGAGTTCCATCATAGTTTTCCAGATTATGATCCCCATATCACTCTACATCACCATGGAGCTGGTACGGTTGGGGCAATCATATTTCATGATTGGAGACAAGAATATGTATGACAGTTCCAGCAATTCCAGGTTTCAGTGCAGATCACTGAATATTAATGAGGACTTGGGACAAATACGATATGTATTTTCGGATAAAACAGGCACGCTAACAGAAAACAAAATGGAATTCAGAAAAGCAAGCATCTGGGGAATGAATTATGATAATACTCATTGTATGGCTGTATCTTCACAGGACATAGACGACGAAGGTATGCATGAAAAATGTTGCTTTAATACATATAACAATACAATATTTGATAATGCATCCTGTTAGTTAATTTTTCTCTGTTGGTTAAAGACCTTAGCAGTATCATTCTTAAGGGAGAAAAAATCACCTTTCATAGTTTATTAATTCAGTTTTCCTTATGCTGCATGGTTTCAGAGGTAATCAAAAACACCACTAGTGCTATCAATTGAGGCAGAGGGAATTAGGTTTTTATCATGCAGTTATACACTTATATTCTATCTTTTACTTTTTTTGACACCGTATTATGCTACGAAATGCTTTTCACAGTGGAACACCTGGCTGATAGAGCCAAATGCATGTTAATTTCTCGAGATACCACAAGATTACATTGTAATTGGATAACTGCGCTGAAACACACCATCATTGTTCCTCACATATTTTCATTTTCCCTCATTTCACTACATTCCTTTTCTTATGTTGATTGTAAATGATTGAAGCTGTGCAATTTTTATTTTGATGTTTTCCTGCTTCTTATTGGTCATCACCATAATCACGATCGTCGTCGTCGTCATCATGATCATCATCATCATCATAATACTAATAATAGTAATAATAATAATAATATAGTAATAATAATAATAATATAATATTATTACTATTATTGTTAATGTAAGAGACAATGTGCAGGAGAAAATGCTATGGCTGGTAAACTGAAATCTGAAATCATCCTTGATTCTGAACTCATGAAATTATTGTACAAAGATCTAAGTGGAGAAGAAAGGGTTGCTGCCCATGAGTTCTTCCTGACCCTCGCTGCTTGTAATACTGAGATTCCTATTCTCACGAAAAGTCCTGCAAGTGACGATTCATCATATGGTAGTCAAATATCTATTGACTATCAGGGTGAATCGCCGGATGAACAGGCACTGGTTGCTGCAGCATCTGCTTATGGTTACACATTATGTGAGCGCACATCTGGGCATATAGTAATTGATACCAATGGTGAGAAATTAAGGTAGAAAACTCACATCTTTATTAAGTTTAAATTATGCTTCCTTATTACTGCTTTGAACCCCTATTGTTTTTTTCCTTTTCACGCTTTTTTTTTTTCAAAATAAAGTTTCTTATACGTGCATTATGATGCTCGATTCATTTTTACATACTTTAATCAGAGTCGAAGTTACGCTAGCTTATGATCTTTATCCTGTGATGTAGGTTGGACGTTTTGGGTCTTCATGAGTTTGATAGTGTGCGTAAAAGAATGTCAGTTGTAATCAGATTTCCTACTGGTGGTGTGAAGGTATTGGTGAAGGGGGCTGATACGTCAATGTTCAGCATTTTAGACCAAGGTCACACCAGCGATGATCGTATAAAACAGTCAACACAGAGTCATCTGAATGCTTATTCATCTGAAGGTTTGCGCACTCTCGTTATAGCTGCCAAGGACCTCACAGGTGAAGAGCTCGTGGAGTGGCAAAGTATGTATGAAGATGCATGCACATCTTTGACCGATAGATCTGTAAAGATGCGCCAAACAGCAGCTCTTATTGAATGCGACTTGACCCTTCTTGGGGCCACAGCTATCGAGGACAAGTTACAAGAGGGTGTACCGGAAGCCATCGAGTCTCTGCGCCAAGCTGGAATAAAGGTGTGGGTTCTCACTGGAGATAAGCAAGAGACAGCAATATCAATTGGTCTTTCTTGCAAACTTTTGACGTCGGATATGCATCAGATCATTATCAATGGAAATTCGGAAAGTGAATGCAGAAAACTGTTATGTGATGCCAAGGCCAAATTCTGTGTGAGTTCGTCTATTTGCTGTGACCAAACGATGAAATGTAAGAGCAAAACCGAGCTTGAGTATCTTGACATTCCTTCTCAATTAAAGTCATCCGATTTACCTCAGGAGTCAGTGAATGAGGAAGATGGATCTGGTTTTGGGCCTCTGGCACTTATAATTGACGGGAATAGTCTAGTTTACATATTGGAGAAAGATTTGGAATCTGAGGCATGTATTATTACT